GATTAAAGTTAATCTATATTGGTGGAAATGGGCATAAGTCGTGGGAGTGCGAGCGCGGAGCGGGGGCGCGCGGGGTGAAGCCTTGACTTCGGCGAATTTCGTTTTCGGCGTGTTTTTACGCGTGGGGCAGGCTGCTGTCACCAGTGCCTCAGTATAGGCACGTATTGAGATGTTATCGTTCTGTTAGCGAGATATCTTTTATTATATTTACTTCGTTTCATTCTTCCGTGTTCCCTAGTTATGCACTGAGAGGAATAATATAGGAGAGTTCAGAGGAATTGTCAGATAGAGCGTCCGTGATACACGAAAGTGTACGAGGAGTTTATGAAGATATTTAAATCTCTTTCCTCGGGCTGCTGTGATGTTCATCACACGCTTCTCTCTATCTACGCTCTCTGGTGTCAGTGCGTACGGGAACAGGGAAGGACATAGAAAGGGCCTTAAGGCCAGAGAAATGAAGTAAAGACCTATGATTAAGGTTTGATTATTTTAATGTTAGTATTACGCGGCGCGTGGTTTACGACGCGGACGTTTCTTCTGCTGCGCCTACGTGCAGAAAAAGCGTTTATATATATGTAGCGATTGGAAAGAGAAGGCAGGAGTGCGGAGGCCTCGACGCCGTAGAAGGCGCTCGTTTAGAGTTCCGCTGGAAGTTAGTTTCGGCGTCGCTATGGACAGCGCTGTCGAAACCAGGTGAGGATGTAGACACCGTGGTTGGCGCACGATCGGGGCTGGATTTCTGAGGGGAATACGGAAGATCCAGAGCGCTACTTAAAGCGCTAGGAGTGCTTACCGTTATGGATTTTGGGAAGAAATAAAGACGCGTGTCTTGGAACGCTCTGCTTTATATACTGTTTATTTCGTGGCCCCTCGCGGCAAGGGGATGTTCTCGTTCACGTGTTATTGCGAAATTACTATTACGTGCCGATTATGTAATTTATGATTTATTCTAACGGTGATTAGTTTTTAGTTAGTTTGCGTCTTTTATTTCGCTGCGAGGGTCGCGAATTTCGTACTGGCGCGCTCAGTCGTCGCGTATTGCAGCCCGTTGCGGCAGAACTTGCATCTGTTCTTTGTGTGTTTTTTCCTCATAAATTTCTTGTATCTTTCCGGATCCTTTTATTCTTTGTGCGCGTGGAATTTGATGTTTATTTAAGGCCTTTTCTCAATCGTGTGCGCTTTGGTTTTATTCGCGATGATTTCGTTCGTATGCAGGGCCCTTTTGTGACCGATGGGTGCATTCGTGGTTGCGCGGCGATGCATTGCGTTGGCGTTATGCGTTTTTGGCTGCGGTCCACTTGACGCTACAAACGCTTCGAAGCGTTTGAGCAATCAATCAGAACAAAGAATTTTACAAATTGACTAATCAAAAACGCTTCGAAGCGTTTGTAGCGTCAAATGGACCGCAGCCTTTATAATTTTTCCGCAGGTCTGCGGTTTTTCCCTGCAGCTGCGTCGAGGTCGGTTGTTACCTTAATTATTCCCTACTTCGTGTTAATGGTGTTTTCTCGTAAAAGTGCATTCTTGCATTGGTTTTAGTATTTATACTTTGGCATAGGCGCAGTATGCGCGGCGTTCGAACGCGACGGTTTCGGTGGCTTGGCCTATAGCTGAACGCGCTTATAGTCGGCACATATTATATTAGTCCGCTATATTCCGTGTTCGCGCTCGCTTGGTAAACGGACGGGGCGCTATATTGGCTGTGTTCCAAAATTATTTGTCAGCGCTGGCAGTACTGCCAACACCGTTCCAAAAATCATCGTAGCACGCTGTGGCAATGCTGCGAGAGGGTAAAGACGTCATTAATGTTGTCGTCATTTCCTACTGCGGCTGC